TATTCGTATAATTATAACAACAAAATAGATACACTTATTACGTTTTTTAAATCTTTTAACTAATAGAAAAATTATTATTTTTTATGTTTTTGAAAATGTAATTTAAATACAGTATATATATTATTTTATTTTTTCTTTAAATATTTAACAATTAAAAATTATAAAATATTGACTTTTTTCTCTCTCGTAAAGAAACATTCGTTAAGCTTATGTTTGGTTTTTGTAACGATATTAAAACATTTTTTTAAGAAAACCAAACGTTAATTTTAAAAATACTGTAATTAAAATTTAATTTTCTATTTAATTTTAATCAATTTTTTTTTGATTTTTGAAAAGAAAAATAAGAAAAAAATTGTACAGAAAAGAGAAAACTGTTACGTATAATCTGAATTACGGTTATAATTCAGGAATCATTATAATTTAAAAGTATCCTAAATTTAATATAGGATAATTTAAAAATTGAATTGTTTTTATCCTGAATTTCAAGAAAATTCAGGATAAAAATAAAGGTAAATGTTTGTAAAATTACAATAAAATTTTTATAATNTTGATCTTCCCTCCTCTTCTCCTCTTTCCAATTAAGTTTTTCCTCAAAACCTTATTTCCGTTGTTGTCGAATAATCTATAATACGCTTAAATTTCTTATTAAAAAAAATAATAAGTATATATAGTTACTTTAAAATTATAATAAATTTGTGTTTATTTTTTTAAACAGTTAAAAGCATGAAAATAGTAAATAAAAGAAGTGAAATTGTAGAATCTTTGCAATTTGAAGCGATTATTTTTATTATTGTTAAACAAAAGCAAATTTTAGTTCGGATGAAAGATTGAGAATCGAGAAAATAATTATGTAAGTTCCGTTGAGATTGTAATTAATATTAATGAGAAATAATTAATTCTTCTGCCATCTGTCATAATAACTGAGATACAAATTTGCCTTTTGTTAACTTGTCTTCTTTAAATGATTTCGAATTTATCTTTTATAATTTCTAAACAATACAGTGTTTCTAATTATCATTTTTCTAACTACATTCATTAAAAATTTTATAACATTATAATTATAAAATGTTAAAGTTATAATTCATGATGGAAAAAAAACTCGTGATTTAAATTACTTTTTACAATAAATTTGACTAAATTCGAGCTTTATTCTTGTTGTTTATCTTCAATAATTTGTTGATATATTTTTTAATATTAAGTTTTACGATTAATGATGGGAATTAATCGAGATATTTTTTGATATATTACAAAAAAAGTCTCAAAAAAATAGATTTAATCTCTTGATGGAAAGATCATCAGACTCACTTTTTTTTTTAACTTTTATCTAGATTGGTTTCCGACATGAATATTCTCCCCCCAAAACTACTGTTCATAAAGTATGTATATACATATAAGGGAAAAAGAGGATAACGTGAGTAGCAACAATAATATTATTAAAGTTGTTTAAAGAAATTCTCCATAAATATTAATGTTTGTATGAATTTTATAATATTTAAATATTACCAACTACATGAAGTTAAAGAGAAAGTTGCATGTCATTAACATAAAAAATCGTTTCGAACGGGGATTAGTATTATGTTCTTGTAACTTAATAATAATTTATGATTATTTGGATAATTTAGTGACAAAATATTTACATTATTTAGATTTACTTCGGGCTAAATCGATTGTTTTTTCCCCCTCCTCCTTTTAGAATTCACACTGCTTGATAAGTCTGTCCAGGTTTTATCGTGTTTGGGATTAATAACTTTGCATACATTTAGTAGGACTATATATTCACTAGCTGTATGTAAACGGCAATTTTATTTGCTTTTTTAAATGTTAATTGTAAAATAACAATTTAAAATAGCTATAAACGATCTATATTGAATTAAAAATTGTTTAAACATCAAATTTTACAGGGCCTACATATAATTTCTGAATTATCTTTTTGATATATCATCTAAGTGCGATTGAAGATATTTGCTACTAAATATGAAAATGTTTCGAGAATATATATTTATATTCCTTTTTTATTTGAACATGTTTAATGCTGAACCACGCCGCAGCGAATTCAGTAGGCGCAACTATTGAGTTTAAGTGACGCGATGCGCCGCGACTTCTCTAAAAGTAACTTTTAAGACAGTCAAAATTAAATATCGGAGTCTATTAAAAGCGATTTAATGCAATTACTGTTATAGAAATAATCGTATAATATATAAATATGCTTCTTTACGAGATAAATTCGAAAAATTTTGTTTGCGACACGTCGCTGCGCCGTCGCGCCGTCGTTACAGAGATCTTTACATACAGCAGTTTTTAAAATAACAATGTCTTTACGCATTATAACAACAAAATAATTTTATTTACTCATTATAATTCGAACTATTTTTTAAAATTAGTTTTTGTATTTAAATATTGATTATATAAAGTATAAGCGTCATACAATTTTATCGCTGTATGCGCCGCGACCCGAGTTTCTTATGATTAAAAAGATAAAAATATATTAAGAAAGCAATAAAAATACGGATTTTTTTTATTTTTAAAGAACAATAAATATGTTTTTTTTTTCAAGCGATGTTTGTGCATGAGAAGAATAATATATTTCTTTGTAGGAATGATAAAAAGATGTTATTAACATTTATATCGGTTTATTATTAAGGATTTATCTGTTAAAATAGGAAGAAAATTTAGAATTTGGTAAGAAAACACACCAAAAATAATTTTCTGAGATTAAAAAAAAGAATTAAACATTCAAAGAGATTCGATTTTTATACATTATAGCGTCGTTAAGAATTAAATGCGACATTTAAGTCGTGAACTTAGGAATTTTATCTTTAAAATTGCAATTTTCTATAATGTTTACGACTAAAATTCTCTATTGATTTTATATTTATTCATTTTCATATATAAATTTTTAAAGATAGCGTATTTAAAATTGAGATATAGTGCGAATTTCCTGCAAAAACATAATGAAAATGCCATATTAAAAAAAACGAACTGGTGTTAATCGATTGATATAAGTTAAGGGAATGTATCATATAATATGTAAAAGGGAAAAAGCGAGATATCTAAAAGTATTTATAAAATTCACTCGCAGTCGAGTTGATAAAGATTGGCATATGCAGAATTTGGCTCTGACTATAGAAAGGATCTCTAAAACACTCACGTCAAAAATACTTATTGACAAGAAGAAGAGTTTATGGAGAATCCGCATGCATACCTTCGTCCCATCCATCATTTATGTGAAAAGAGTGTTATCAAATCAGCATTCAGCACTATCCGTGTCGTGCATGTCATAAATAAGTAGACAATGAAGATAATTACCGTCATTGCGTGTCTTTTATCATCCTCTTTTCAGAAATATTATAAAAAAATTCTAAGCATTGGTTAAAGTCAAGTAAAAAGTTTTACGTGTATAAAAAAAATTGTACTTAAAATTAAGGAATTTCTTCTTTGTTTTTTTAGGCTTAAAAATTTAAATTTTGTATATAAATTTTACTAATTAATAAAATAAATAAGTCGTGCATTATTGAAATTCAAAATATCAATCTTTATGCATCATATATTCTATTTCATAATGAAAAAACATTAAGGGGAAAAAATTGATGAATTCCATTTTTTTTTATATTTAAAAACTAAGTCATATATTTATTCATTTCCATTATTCAATAGGCCTACTTACAGTATATCAAAGAGTAAGTTGGAAAAACTATCCTTTTCTAAAATTCCAGACTAAAACAAAACTTTATAAACCTAGAAGGATGTTTCTTGTTTCCTATTTCTCGAACCGATGCGTTCTCTAGAGATGACTACTTTGTTTCTCTACTGAGATATGGAAAATGGATATATTCTAGAATGATCTGATGCATTTCTTAAAAATAAATAGCTAAAAATCTATATATATGGAACTTAAGAACGTATAGATCTACTAATCAAACAACTGAAAGGAATGAAAACCGATTGATTTACATATAAATTATTCGTATAAGTTGGCGTAATTACTATGATGATTAGCTCTTCTATGAATAATAATTAGCATATTTATGTTATATTCAAATTATCCAATGCTATATTGTAAAAAAAAGTTCGGGTAAGAAATTTAAAAAAAGAAAATAATTGCAATCTATCTGGCGATAATGTAGTCATTGTGTAAATTGTATCTTGGGAAAGACTTTCCCTCAAAAATTACGACCCTTCATCGTTATCGTTTAAATATCGATCGCAGTTTGCACTCTAATCGAAACTAGCTGCGGTTTAAATAGCTACTAAGAATAAACATGGCGGCTATCTGCAGTTTTAAATAGAAAATGTCTCCAAGTAGCGATAAGATATCTGTCAAAATGTAATTTTGCTGGAACAACCCGTTATTATTTTTTAGTATATGGAGAGAATTAGCCCATATTCAATAAAAAAAATGCCTATATGCGTACGTGTATATAAACTATGTATTTAAAAATTAAATAAAATTCAGTTTTAAGTGTTAAAGTTAAAATGATTTAATGAATAAAAATCAGTCGCTGGAAAAAAAAAACTGTAATTAAAGNTGGTTTAGTAGCATTTACAAAATGCTGCTAAGCCAGATGTGCAAGAGCAATTTAATTCAACATGCTTGAAAAGTAAAACAAATGTTAAATTCTCTACTTATTTTAAAATCTGTTATTTATTTATTTTTTCAGTTTTATATTTATAAATATCTTTAATATATTATCTATTTTTATTAAGTGTACATTTAAACATTTATAGATATTGAAGTTGTTTTTTTTAGTAGAATTAGAATATAGTGTAACATATTATGACTCCTTTATGAAAATTAATAAACAAAAAATGCACAATCATCCTAAATAAGAAAACTTAATCTGTTAGATTTATTAAAAATGTATTTTCAATATATTTCAAGCAAACACTTTTCATTCTTAAATTGTTACTGCTAGTCAAGGTCATTTGTTCACAATATAATATAATAACTACATGACTAGATAAATACCTATTATTTAAATAAATAAATAGAAGCAAAAAAAAAAAAGAATTTTGACATTTTAATTTAATATTGTTATGAGTAAGTAATTAAATTACAAATACTGTGAAATTAAAATTCATTTTGATTAAAAAAAATTCATTAAATCTTTTGTGATTTTTAGAATTGATTTTATAATGAAGAGAGGAACAAATTTTAAAACACATTGAATAAATTTAAATGGATGTTATATTAAGTAACACCAAAAATATCATATAACATATTAATTAATGCATTATTCTAATTATTAATTTCAAATTAATATGCATTGGTCATCATATAAATTGAAATATTTACAAGTTTAAAAAGTAATTAAAAAATGATAACATTCAGGCAGAAAGAAAAAAGTTTATATTATTTGGTATAGATTCACTTGTAGTTAACTACATATTAACACTTTTGATTATATTTAACCTTAAATGTAGCTTGACCTACTTTTAAAGTTAAATATAATCTAAAAGGCAATAACCTGTTAGGTAATTAAGCAATTATTAAATGCTGCAATAGTGGTATTAAGTTCAAAAATGATTTCTGAATTTATTGATAACAATATTAATCAACTTATTAAAAATATGAAATTTGACAAAAATTTGATCTATATACAAACATAAGTTTTAACAAAGAATATATTCTATGTTTATCAAATTGTAAGAGATTTTTGTTGCTTAGAATTTAAATAATTAAGTTTTTTGAACATAAAAATTTTTAATAATAATTTTTATTACAGTGTATAAAATAATATATATATAATGGTAACTACAGNATATTAATAAATTAGTTAAATATGATTTAATACAAAATTTGCATTTTCGTAATAATTTCCGATTTATTTCACTCAGGCATGACTTGACATTTCTGAAAAATATAGGAGTTGAGAGAAAATCGCAATCTAAGATCTCATAAAGACGAGAGACATCATTTCTCTGGTATGGTTACCGCTTCTACATAGATTTATAGGAATTTTTCACAATTAGATTTAGAGAAAATCAAAATTTAAACATTTCAATCATAGGACGAGTAGTAATTACAGTTCCCTATACTTAAACAAATGAAGCAAACGTTCGTCCAAGTAATTGAAATCGCTTTAAACTATAGCAATTACATGTCTTTCACGCCACAATAACAATTTGTGGATTTGTTTCGTACGAAGATTTGTTTTTCCGGATTGTATAATCAGAACTCTTCAACGTCAAGATTAACATTTAAGCTAAACTAATCACAACAGTCGCATTTGTGCGAAAAGAATTAAGAGAATAATGTAGTGCAATTTTCTGAAATTGGACTTGTCAGCATTATGTATAAAACGCAATCGCCAACATTTCATCCGCTCAGCTTAACTCATTGTTCTATATTAACCTCCATTCTAACACTATGACATTCTGTGCAATTTAACACTAATCTCTCCTCTCCTCCTTCTCTCTCTCTCTCTCTCTCTCTCTCTCTACACAATTANTAAGAAACGAGAAATAATAACTAAAACCTCATTATAATATCGCTTTTTTTAGTTATTTAAATTTATATAGATTTGAATGTATAGTGAAGATATTCATCTTGTCTAGAATTCAAGTCTTTTAAATATCATTCTAACAAATATTACGAAAATGAATAGCTAAATATGTAAAATAATCTAACTCAATGTTATGTATTTAACCTATTTTCTAAATGTTCATTACGATTCCTTTCGAAAAGAATTATCCTGGTGACAATAAAATTTTATTAGATTTAAGTGGATTTTTTTTAATAGTATTACTCCATTTCGTAATTATTATGGTTGTAAAAGCTGCCAGTTGAATGAGATGAAATATTATACGTCATTTTGTAAATGGCTATATTTTACACCTAACTTAAATACTTACAAAATGAAACTACACACGTGTATATAATTATGGTTACGTTTAACGAACACTTACAGTAAACTATAAACTGGGATACTGTATTTTAAAAATACTTTCCATTCGTCTTAAATATCACTTACTAATTAACTAAGCATTCATCAGTGTCACTAGAAGATAAAAGACTGTAATAATAAAAGCGTTACATGAAATTTCTCTCTGTAAAATATTTTAAAATAATTGCAATTTTAAATTATTTTATGTAGTGGTAGTAAAAATTATTGCTTAATTTTATACAGTTGTTAAAAATAGACCTATAGTATATTAGGCTATATAAAACTAGGATTCTGCAAAATTATTTTTATATTCTTTCAAGAATTTTATATAGTTGAAATTTTTAGCAATTCTTTTTAATTTTATACGAATATTTTATATTCAAAACGGTATAAATGCATTTTTTTGGAGATAAAAAGGTGAGATGCACAGACTTACGCACATAACTTTACAAAGAGACTCATATATAGTCTTATATGCCATATATCAGCCTCTTTATGTATCAATACACAGCATACATACAGGTGATTACAATACGAATCGCTTAAATTTTGATAATTATGAAAATATCAAAGTAAGAAGTTTTCTATAGCCGCAATCATAAAGAATTTTATACCAGCTCCTATTAAAATCATAAAATTTATGAAGTTCAAAATAATAATAAAAAAACATTTTATACTTTACAAAACAGTAAAAACCTTATTTTGTAGAAAAATTTATAATACTAAATGGCTATTTTAGCAAATCAAAAGTTCCTTATATATTGCTGGATTTTTGTGCTATTGAAATAGATGAAGACAGCAATTCTGAATCATCTTAAGCGGTTTAATCGCAACAAATTACCTAAATTAATATAAAAATAATGTCGTAATAGTAAGAAATCTGCTAAAAATTAATATTTATCTTAAGCAAATTAATATTTTCAACGTACTTGTCTAAGATGACACACTACAACTAAGATGACATTCTATACAAGCTACCGTCTTTACACTGTTAAGGATAACTGATACTTTCTCTTATAATTATAAAAATTGATTTTACTGACAACTACACGAATAATGTATTTACATATAAAATAATATATATATAATGGTAACTACAGTGTAGCTCATGAGTTTCTTGCAAGTCTTGTATGCTAGTTGAGCAGCTTATATAAGATACCTGATTTTTCAATGATTTTAAATACAAAGATTAGCTAATATTGCTACATCCTTACAAAAAATTGTAAGAATATTAAAATTTCTAGATCAAAATACAACAATATTTTCATACAACAAATATGTATAGAACCAGATTAACTATTGGGATAGAACTTGACTAATATCTGTCTAATTAATTAGATAGCTCTAGCCCAGTGACTCCCAAACTTTTTTGAGCCCTTTCTCCCTTGATTCCATAAATCTAGTGCCTCCAACAAGAACCCCAATGCCCCTTAACCTATTTTCCCTTATGAGAAAGGCTTGGAAATATTCTTACATAAACTTCTCTATGAACCTTACAGGCTACTTTGTGTCCGTACCATATATTGTTCTCCATGTCTGGAAACCATTAAACACAATATTTCTTCTTATTTATGTAACACCTCATAAATTTTTATCAAGAGCCCAGATATTTTCCTAATAGTGCATTACATAAATGAGGGTTTGAGATTACCAGGTTTGGAATTTACATGAATAATAAATAAGAACAAAATTCTTAAAAAGTCAAAAAGAACCTGAAATAATTACTATATGTGATAATGAAAAAATATGTTTATTATTGTAGACCTGAATGTGTACAAGAAGGAAATAAAGTTAGCAAAAATTTGAAATATAATAAAAAGATATTTTAACAGATCAAAAAAACAAATGTATACAAGAACTTTCCCAATGTTTGGGGAACTTAATTTTAAGATAGTTATAATTTAATTTTTATCTTTACAAAACCATTGAATTGAAAGTTGTCAAAAATTCACAAAGAAATCTTACAGGTTAAATTTGCCTAACAGTCACCAAGAAACTTCTACGTTTTTAATGAAACTTGAAAACCTTACTTTAACTTCACTCGATCTTTAGCAGTACCTCATTTGATCTTGAGCTTCACTTCCTCCTTGTAGTGTGGTTGTGGTGACGTTAACATGATTATGTCCACTTGACCATATTTACAAACTGAAGTTGCTAACATTCATTTAATTCTAGTAATCTTTCTTTAAGTTGTGTCATTGACCTTACATTTAATCTTTTATAATTTTTTGTTGTGCCTTTTTGTGACAATTTGGGGTGGGAGGTTGTTCTTCTAACTTCCTGTGGAAGTCTTCCCGAGATGTCGTTTCTGGGTTTGATGACGTAATTGGTTGCAGCCTGCAGTCATTGTAGTAAGATGAGTTTTAGTTTTAGAATTTTGCTTGGGTGAGGTGCAGTAGTCTATCCTTAACAAAATAAAATGCCCCAAAATAAATAGAATAACAAACTAAAAATAATCCTCAAACAAAATAAAATAGCTTGGAATCAACTCCTTCCACTCATTTTAATGGAGGAAAGGGAAAGATTGTCAATGACCTTTAACCTTGCCTATGGTCACTGTTTGGTCAGGACACTGACTCCAGTGCACCTTGCTTTTTTTGCTCCCCTAAGTTTACTCACCACTTAAGGAGGCAATAGTGCCCACTTTGGAAATCACTGCTCTAGCCTGATAGTTAATCTGGTTTGTTCATGCAATAAATTAGTCTAATATATATTTTTAATGATGATGATGTCTCTGATTCTTACTTATGTTGACGCCTTAAATGAAGTTCTCAAACCATGTCTAATTGGCCACTCCTGATATATAATACAAAAATCCATTAAGTTCTAGAAATTTCTATCAATTATTAATCTCTAAATTTCATTCTTAGAGTTGTTATAAGAAAATTTTTAAAAATACTGAAACTAATTTTATTTCATATGAGATAAAAATTAGTAATATGAAGCATTCATAAAGTAAAGATATAAAGTACAGAAAATATTTCTAAAGCATTTTATGTTTATATTTACTTATAATATCTTTAGAACATGTGTTTGTTTATTTTCAATATAGTCACCATGGACCTCAATGCATTTGATGAGCCTGAAAATAAGTTTCTTAATGCCATCATTATATAAATCTTCCTGTTCTCATAACCATGTCATCACTGTATCTTGAACATCATTGTCCTCATAAAGCTGAGATGTTTCTTTAACTTCAGAAACAAGTGATAATTTGCTTTTTGCAAGATCTGGACTGTACTGTACAATGGATGTTCCAAAGCTTCCCACTTGAATGTATGCAACAACTCTTGTGTGATGTGAGCAGTGTGTGGATAGACATTACAGTAGGACACCATTTTGTCATGTTTTGCATGTTCATAATGTCTTCAGCATAAATGAAAACAAGTTGCTAATGAATTTCAATGGCAATTTCTTCTTTTGTGCAAAGGAATTGAATCACTGAATGAACCTAACACTTGGTGGGATTACAAATTGACATGGCCAATTTAACCACATGCTGCAAGCATAACAATGATACAATTAATTAAAGTTAAGTGACTTTTGTTGTGTGACTCAGACCCTAGCAGATACAGCACTGCAGAAAATTATGAAAAAATAATTTTCCTTGGATTTCTACTTACTTTGTATCTTTACTTTCTAAACATGCCTCATATGATTGATTTTACTGTAACATTAAATTTAAAAAACATTAATTAATTGATAAATTAATCTTTAAGTTTGTATTTTTAGACATATGTCATAAATATGAGAACTTCTTGTTTGTAGATGGAAAAGAAAGTATTACACTTTCTCAGAAAGAAAAAGAAGATAGAATTCGACAATTCAGAGAACAACAGGAAGAAGAACGACAGCGCCGACTATACGAACTACAGCATGCAACAATTCAAGCACAGAAACATAGAGAACAACTGGAAGATGAACGTCGCAAAAAGATAAAAGAATTACGAATAAAAGAGATAGAAAGAAGGCAAGCTGTTGAAGAAAGAAAAAGAATGATTTGGGAAGCTGAGCAGGTTAAAAATAGTTTTTAATATTTTATATTAGAAAATTTATTTTGTAATGTGTCAAAATTCAATTTCATTTTTTACATAAAATAAAATACATGAAAATTAATTTTATTAGGAGAGAAAAGAAGCAATTTTAAAAAGAAACTTAGAACGTGAAGCAAGGATAGAAGCAAGACGGAATGCTCAAAGAAATGCCATGTCATATGCATTTGGCAGTTCTACTCCTCGATCATTTGATCTAGATTTAGTAGCTTTAGGTTCTAGTCGTCTTGCTTCTCAAGGTTCAATTGTCTTATCTGCTTCAAGCAGTCATCAAATAGATGAAAAAGAACATGATTCTAAAAAGTTCCTAAAATCAAATTGTTTAGATAGAAAACCAGGTATGTTTATATTATTTTTAAGTATACTGTTTTATGAATGAAATTAAAATATCTTAAGAAATTCAAAAAGTAATGATGATAAATACATAAACTGTTGCTTTAATTATATAAAAACTATTTTAAAGATAAGATAAATAATTTGATATATTATTTACTATGATTCTCAAACACAAGACTGTGCTACTATTTAAACACTTGGCGTTTTTTCATCTTTATTCAGTTCATAGAAAATTATAAAACACAGCTTTGGAAAATTGAGTATTATAATTTACATTTAATTTTGTACTAATCAAACACACACCATTAATTAATATGGAAAAATATTCTAAATGGAGTGTGAAAAAAAATTATATATGTAATTTCATCTAATTATAGAAAAGTTATCAGTAAGTGTTCTGCTTCTTATTTTAAAAACTAGTATTAATGGTTGAAGATGATTTTATGATTTTTTAACGTTGGTTCAAACATTTTTAAAGTTACATCTCATTTTAATTTTGGAATGCACAAACATATTTAATATTAATCTTCAATAGCATCTTTTCAAAGAAAAAGTAGGGAATATATTTAAGGTCTGTTCCAAAAGTTTAGGTAAAATGATTTTTAATGAAGAACTTTTAAAATACTGAATATTTGATTGGTTTAATAAGTGAAATGAGATCACAATATACATCATATTAATTAAATGTCATTAAAAAAAATAAATTTATCAATTTAATAGTTAAGATTTTTACAATAATAGAAATTTTGCTAAACATTATTGTTCCAAAAGTTTAGGTAAATTTCAAAAATTACATTGAAAAGAATTACTTAATGGCTAATTGTGCTTTCATTATTTTTAATAACATCAAACACATGATTCAGCATTGTCCAGAATGAACTGTGACAATTAGAAAACTAATGACCACTTACATAGACTTGTTTTCCATGATCCCCCAGAAGATTTCTATTGTGTTAAGGTCTGGATTTTTTGCAGGCCATTTCATAACATTCACATTTTCATTCTGAAGCAAGTTTTTAGTCAAATTTGAATAATGAATGGGAGCATTGTTTTGTTAAAATATCCAATTAGGATCACCTATCATTTCTGCTATAGGAAGTAGATGGTCTAAGGTGTCTTGATAATGTTATGAAGTCTGTCGTCCAGAAATAAATGTTAGAGTGGAAATTCCATTAAATCCAAATCCCCACACTTTTAGAGAGCCATCACCTTGTCTGCTGTAAAACACTGTCTTATTTTTGCAGACCATGTCAGTAGTAATTCCAGCCATCAGGACCATCTAAGTTCCACTTTTTTTTATCACTGAAGCATATACTTAACTACCCATCTTTCCATTGTATGTAGTTTTTGGTCCATTCCAATCTTGCTTTAAGATGTTCAGATTTGAGAGGTGGTTTTTTTTCACATCCTTATTTAATATTAGGAATTTTTACTTATTATTCTGTGCACAGTATTTTTAGAAATATTCAAGTTAGATGTTTTTAAAACTTGTCTACTGATTAATTTTGTATGGATACCAGTCTAATTATACACCATGAAAGGTGTATAATTAGACTGGTATCCATAGGTATCCATAGGTGTATAATTAGACTGGTATCCATAATTAGACTGTAGGTGATGTCATTTTTGGTCGATCTGAACGTGTTGCTGGATTAAAATTTTCTTTTCTTGCCAAAACTTTATATATTTCTGAAGCTGAATGACCTATTTTGCTTGAAATTTTAGTAACTGAATGTATACTTGCTTTCAATCTCTAAATTGCTGTCATTTCTTCTAAGGAAAATTGATTTTCAATTGGTATCTTGATTTTTCCGTTATTTCTTTGTTTATTTTAAAAATAACCATTATAATAATGAGATTTCACAAGATTTTATCCTAAACAGTCACAATTGACTTTATTCATTATGAATTTGTGTAATAAATTGCTCAGGAACAAATAAAATATTATTATTACCTAAACTTTTGGCACAACAATATCTAACAAAATTTCTATTATTCTAAGCATAACTATTAAATTTTTAAATTTATCATTTTAATGACATTTAGTATGATGCATTGTGATGTCATTTGTCTTATTAAATCAATCAAAAGTTCAGTATTTTAAAAATTCTTCATAAAAAATCATTTTACCTAAACTTTTGGAACAGACTTTACATGCTTATTTTGAAAAAATGCATTACTAATACATGTATACATACTATCTATACATACAGTATATTAGTAGCTTTCAAGTATTGATAGTTTTTCAAAATCAAAAAGCAGATAATACTTGCTGTTTTTTTATGATTAGCTGAAATTTTTATCTTTTAACTTCCATAGTGAAGTCATTATCAGTCATATATTCAAAGAAAATATTTTAAAAAGACTGCTTGAATTTACTAAGGAATATACTGCTCATTTGAATATACACTAAATACTAAATGCATTGTTTTAATTTTTAAAACCATTTTCAAATGAGTGAAATTAATACTCTTGATAACAGTTGAAAGTAATTTAGTTCATAAATAAACATTTTTGTTGGGTTAAAATAAAGACAAGATAAGTATTTTCACAACAGTGTCTTGGAATCAAGTTGTTGATCAAATATCATTTGATCAGCCTATAATTATGTAGAAAAATAATTATAATAAATTATNTGTTTTTATATTTTTCAATATATTTATTTTGTTTGTACAAAATAAAAAAATAATTTTTAACGATACAATAGTCTTTGTTAGGCTTAACATTGACAAAAATTCAACACAAAGTGACACACGATGGAGAAAAATTTCAACATGGGATAAATTAATATATTTTTTTTGTACATAATCGGTTATCCGAAATATTGACTTTCCGAACAACCCCAGTCCCCAATTGATTCGGATAATCGACGCTCTACTGTAGATGTATAACTTAATGTATAAAAAATTCAATGTAGACACCAGCACCATCCATCAACTTTATCAAAACAACTGCTGGGTAGAATTCACAGCCTTCTGCAGGAAGTTGTGTGCAATGTTGGTGACAACCTAATGAAACTGTATGTCCAATTCTTCTGGTTCAGAATATATGTTGATTTACATGGGCTGTGGATAAACAATCCCCACACCTACAACATATTTTCCTAAGATTGTGATGTGGATGGATGGTCACTTCTCTGTGTATCTGCATCTGAACCTGTGGTCATTAGGTTTGAATGACAATTCTTGATTGTTTCCAGACAAATTGTGGCATGATGTCTTTTCATTGCACATTACCATTTCTGCACAGCAACTACTGATTTCCACACCTTATAACTTACAGCAATCTGCACTTACTTATGAACAGACAAATCGTTGACAATATTTTTTTCCACTGTGTGTACAATCTCTCTGTCACTGCCCACACCACCAATGTGGAATTATAAAATTCCATTGATTGATGTACTGTACATGAGCACATGCATTTTATTATTATTGCATTATTACTAAAATAATTATAACAAATTTCTAAGTGCCTAGTTACTTTCCATTGTAGAATAAAAATAGGATTTAAAAGTTCTTTGAGTTTATGGAATTTAGTGTTAGTAGATTGTAATTTGGAGAATTTACATTATCCTTCATTATATGTACTGTAATAAGTTCAGAAGTATTAGGTTTGATTTATAAATAAGGAATGATTCAATAAAGCAGAGTAGTTTCTCCTATTTTAAAATATGAATTACAATGGTTTTTACAATGGAATTACAAAGTTTTCATATAATTATTCATAGAAGAAAAATCCAGATTCTATTTTGAGTTAGTTTATAATTTTTTGGTTTATTATAATTATACATGTAATTGTTTTAATTGTTATATAATTTAAATTAAATGTTTAAAAAGATCAGAATANATATGCAAATTGATCGTACAATTTGCATATTTGCATTATTAAATTGTTTTATTTGTTATTGTTTGTTTCTTTTATAACAGATAGCATTCTAATGAGACTGTGTTTATATAATGTTTACAGTCTGTATAATAGACTATTGTATTGCAGGCCAGACTACTAGGTTGCAAGCTTTATTTCTACAGACTTGTAGTGCCCGCAGTATTGTCTTCAACAATAGAAAAACAATTATATCGCTTTTCGAAACAAATGAAAGGCATATCTTTTGTAGCAAAGTTAAAACTTTTATTTCATTTATTAATTAAACTTAGGTATTAATATATTCATTTAATATAACTGAACAATGTAATTTTGGTCGCCTCTAGGGCGTTTGCATCTTTAAATATGACGAAGAACGGCTGATTTTGGTCAGTCGTCCCCGTTCTTCGTCCTTTCAAGATCTGTGTCTGCCATTATCATCTGCAGTTTCGTAAGTGTTCCTATTTTGTATTTCTGTGCCTTTGAATTACTCGCCCTCCTTTTGTTCGTGCGCTGCTACTCTCCAGAACTGTTAATTAACGTCAAGAACTCATTTCTTGTTCACCTCCACGTGGGATTTCTAGTTCAGATTCGTAAGATAATGAAATTTGTGAACTCTCTCTCTCTCCGCGATGATAACTCGCATAAACGCGAACATTATGTCCTACTTAACTGTGTAACGTACTGTACAAACTTTCATTCCGTTCAATAAATGTTTAATTGTAGTTAATTGTGTTCAGTGACTTCTTCCAATTGTATCCCGTCATTTCCTACTCCATCGTCTTACAAGTAGTCTCACATACGCGCTCTTGCCATCCACAAAAATGCTCAAAAACTGGACGAGTAATAGGTATAATCTACTTGATGTCAGAAAAAAAAAACGCCAACAGGACCTCACATTAATAAAAGTCTGGAATGCAGAAATTTTAACTACTTTACGATGTTTGGATGCTGAAACACAAAGTGAACATTTATAAAAAAACATACAACAAAAGTGGATACATGTTTACAGTATAGATATAAAATTATGTTAATAAATATATAAATTTTCATAAATAATCAGTTCTAATAAAACCAATAAAAACAAAGGATAATAAATAGGCTAAAATTATTCAAATAAGAACCAAACGTCTTCCAACACTAGAGGAGTTATACTTCAACACTTCAAACAACCTTTCCAGCTCCAGTGATATTTGTTTACACCTCAGCAAACGTTTTCAACCTTGTTCAGCAAACGTGTTATGAGGGAGCCCGTCCCCATTAATGAATGCGTCTAATTCGTCTGCTTCTACCGTTACGCAAACTTGATATCACACGTGATTTACAGTCGTTTTAGCGCGTGCGTAACGTTCCATGAGTATTCTTAATCAGTTTATAAATCTTGAATCGTATACGTTCCACTCCAAACGCGTTCGAATTCCTAAGTAAAGTAGCCTGATGAAGATCTCGATGAGGTTGAAAATGTTTGCTGAGGTGTAAACAAATATCACTGGAGCTGGAAAGGTTGTTTGAAGTGTTGAAAATTATTCAAATAATTTTATCACATTCTTTTATGATGCAAAGTATTTGAAATTTAATTTTTATCTATTGAAATTTTCCAATTTTTCAATCAGTTCTCATTGTGGTTGGCAAATTTGACAACAACGAGAATAAATGTTACTTCAGTTATCTGAACTGTTTCATGAAACAATTTCAGTTTTTATTTGACTTTCATTTTACATGAAATATAATCTAATTTAAATATAATAAAATTTAGAATTTATGGAATGATACATTTCAGATGTAAGAATTGATTCTTACATTTTTAAACAGTTTCTGTATTATTATGTTATACAAATATAAAAAATTTGAACTAGTCAGAAGTAACACTGAATAGAAAAAACAAAAATATAAAATACAAAAATGAAAGAACTATAGTAACATTTATATAAATTGCAAAAAAATAGTAAATACATTAGTTGAATTCAAGCATCATTTTCATTTATAAGATTAAACAAAAAAATTTTTTTTAAATTCTAATTAGTATGTTTTTAACATATTTGTGACGCGTTTTTAAACGTTTGTTCGAAATACGTCACACATGACGAATCGCAGTTCGATTGTGTTTGTGTTTGTGTTTGTGTTTGTGGTCGGACGTGCTTTTCTTGTGCTCTTCGATTGCGTGCTGTTTTTTGCGGTTTGAGGACTTTTGCAGAGAAGATTCAAGATTTTTCAGGTAAGTCTTAGTCCATATTGACCCTAGACGTAAGAATTTATTTAATATTACTTGGAGAANACAATTTCTTTTCTATTCCTAACTAAAAAATATTTTATTGATTTTAATGTTTATTTTAAAATGATTTAAATACATAATTTGTAATTATTTACAATAATTATTTTTTGTTTATTTTTAACCTTTTTTTTTATAGAATATATATACTTCATTTTTTAATAAGCTGTTAATTAAAAATTGTGCAGTACCTACATGGTGCAAAATACATTTTACAGTTAAAAGCAAATAGTAATTTTAATATTGTTTGAATAATAATAGTGTTTGTTGAATTCATTGCAGTTATATTCTTCAATTAAAACGAATTGATTATATAATTAATTAGAAAAAGATTAATGATCACTAGTTTCTTGACTGTTGTTTTTTCCTGCTTGTTCAGTTTTGTGATGTTTTCTTGTTTTTCTTAATTTTCAATGGTTGAAAAGTAAACAAAATGCATTTCAGGCTTTTTGTTTTTTGCTATTCTTCAGTCACTTATTATTTATATAAAATATACTATTATTGTTTTTAAACAACTTTTGTTTTTTAATTTTACTTTTTAACTATATTTATGTAAGATGTTTTGCTTGTTTTCCTTTCTGACTTTTTTTTTATTTAAGTATAGCTTAAATAAATATTTTTATGCTACATACAACTATATTATTGTTAGTTTATAATATATTTACTTGTCTTTAGGTACTTAACTCCAAGTTAAATAAATTTTCTTGGTTGCTTTTTTTTTTTTTTTTTCATTATTGTGTTGACATGTTTTTGGGGATTTTTATTTTTGTATTTCCAATTTTTGCTGTGTTCTTTTCATTTGTATATTAGTTTTAAAATTTTTTTTTGTCTTAAGCAACTTGAGCATTTTTTAATCTCAAAATGCATAAGTTTTGTTTCTAAGAGAATAACCTCATCTGATAAGACAAAAAATTGGAAATACTTGTACAACAAGAAATTTTCAGAAATTGCATTTGAGCATAAAATATAATTGAAATACAATGTAACCCCAATTTTACAAATACTTGATTTTAAAGTATTTGATTCAACAAGCTGTTTTAAAATCTCAATTTACAAAAACAAAATATTCTAATCACAAGTACCATGAGATTGAAATTCCCACCCATTATCGTTTTTGGAGACATTAGCTTTTAATATAATATAATGAATCTAATAAGAGAGATGTAAAATGCACATTATCAAATATCTTTTTATTTAATAATAGGAAAACAATAGTTATTTAAGACAATAAGTATGCAGAAAAACAAAAAATAGAATAAAATATAACTGTTTTTAATTAATGAAATTACAATTACTAATAGAAAGCTCTGTAATGTAGTTTAACTGAACAGCTGGATTAGAATAAATTGTACTATTCTTAGCAAATGAAAATATAAATAAAATGGAGATTAGAACCTATAAGCCAGAAGGGTTATATGTTCTAGCATTTTATTAATTTTGTTCACACTGTCTTCATTAGCTAGGTTTATGGTGCATGTGACTTCCATCGCACTGGAGTTCAACATTCTGCTGTTTTTTCTGAAGTATGTTTTGTGATTTGTGATTCAATTTCACTCTGAATGTCAAAATAAGCAGATTGGGATTTTTATTGCCACTTAATAAAAAAAATATTGCTGAGTGGTGATTTTGGTGTAGTGCAGTGCAACTTGTTTTTCTATCAGTAATTGTAATTTCATTAATTAAAAAAACAGTTATATTTTACTTGTTTTTCTGTGTACTTGTTATCTTAACTAACTATTGTTTTTTATCATTAAATAAAGAAATATTTGATAAAGTGCATTTTACCTCTCTTCTTATTAGCTTGTTTTATATTAGAGAATTATTTAATCAACACTTTCATTTTTATGCATATTTTATATTAATTTCAATTAGAATCATTGATTGATAGACAAATATATTTTATGTGGTAGAATTAAAAATTAAACTGAACTCTTAATATAACTTTTATTGCATTAATAACACAAATATTTAAAAATAGGCATCTTTTGCAGTTGCACACTTTTTTCATTGTTTGTATCACCTATTAAAACAATCTTGCAGCTCATTCTACATTATCAAGTGTCTGGCAAACCACTAGTTTTTAACTTTCAAAGCCTCCTTATTCATCAGACTTTTATGTCTTTAACAAAATGGTAGTTTCCTGAAGGGTTGCAAATTCAAATCAGCAGAAGAGGTAAAAAAATTTGCTTTATTTTGACTGTGCTATATATGGCACTTTAATGTTGTTGTTGGGAAATTTTTCTCTAATAAAAATATTTCAATTTATGAGAGATTTTCAGGAATGGGGTAAGCTTTTAAATTGGGGTTACACTGTAAATAAATTCAGCTGATAATAAGCTGGTAGGTTGTCAACAAATTGTATTGCAAATTAACAACAGTTGATTGAAAAATGAGCTTCTGGTTTCTTATTTAAATATAGTAAGAAAAATTAAAGAACAAAAAATTGTTTAATAATTTAAGTAAAAAGTGAACGCACGCGAGCGATAAGAATTATACTTCAAAAATTAATCCCTTTTCGTGCATAATTAATGTGTAAAGTTTTGTGACTGTAAGGAATCGGTGAAAGTCTGAAGATAAAAATTTCATCATTCTTTAATAAAGATAGCGGGAGCCAAGGTTGGGAACTGTTTAGTTTCGACCCCCGAAAACAAGACGAGTCTACTTTTAAGGCGGGAAAGGGATAAACACGTAAAATTTATTCTTTGTGTAGTTTCACTGGCTGCAGAACGGACGTTTCGGAGTCGCTCGAAATTCTTAGTCAGGCAGTTAAATCGCTTTATCTATATCAGAGATTTATTCTTGTACAATTATCTAAGGAATTCGTGTGCATAAAGTGATAATTTGCACCATACTGAGAGTCTATCTTTTGTTTTGAACGATAAACAACAAACAAGCGCGAAGACAAAGGATTTAGCATTCCTCCTTTGAGAATTTCACAATTACAACTCGATTTTAGTTATCTGTTACGTTGTTGTCATCAGGTATGTAAATCTTTATTTACTTATTTATTACGTCTTTATTCTTTAGTAATTTCCTTCGTTCCTTCGAAGCGGGGTCCGAATTATCGAATTATCGTAACAAATTATCGAATCTATTAATTAAGCAAGTTTACGTATTAAATAATGAAATCTACATGTAAATATCTAAGATGAAAATGTAGGATATTAACCCCATTTAAAAATTTTCTATCTAGTTTACCAGTGGCAAGTAGGCCTACTAGTTTCAATTAGTATTGTAAATGCTGGTATAAAGTTGTGGTGTAGTGCGTGGCAGTATCAAGCAGGGACAGCGTAAACAATAACGAAGGAAATACAGTAAATTGTTTCTTACAATAAAATACAGTAAAACCTGTCTATGGCGACCACCCACGGTTCTTTCAAAAAGTGGTCTTTCAGACGGGCGGTCCCGTAATAACGTATTTCCGTACGTATTTTGCACTTTTTAGCCATTTCTAAGTGAAACTCGAGGCGAGCAAAAATAAGCGAATTTTTTCAACGATAGGGCTATATTGGAATTGTATTTTATTCTTATCGGATAACCCGATTTACGGGAGTCGTCGCGATATTATAAGACAGATTTAATAGCAATATTTTAAAGATGAATACAATAGTCGCATTTTCTCGATTATAACGCGCACTTTCTTTTTCGTTCGCTCCTCAGTTACGCGTATTACGTCATCGATATAAAACCGCGTCCTATCTCTCCATCACTTTCCTTTTGGTTTTCGTTNTTTTGCGCTAATATTGCTAATGCGAGCGAAAAAAAATTCTCAAGGAAAAATTTTCTGTAGCGAACCCTTTGTTAAATATTTCGAATATCACCACTGCGCACGATGTAGTAAAGAAATCAACATTTCAAAACACACACGTGTATGTCCTGCGGCAGCACGTGTACGTCTCGTGTTTTAACCGGTTTCTGGAGTTGGTAGACTCGAACGTTTTAAACGTTTCTCGACGAGATACGCGTTAATAACGCACGTGCGGGTTTTAAACTTCTTTAGACAGAACGTTAGAAGCGCGTCACCACATTTGTGTTTTCGTGTCAAGCCGAAACAGGCACGAAAACCAGTTTCGTTTTCTTAGAAGATACTTAGTTAAATCAGAAGATGTAGTAAGATGAATAAAGGAGCAAAAAATCGGTTGGAAAAAGATCATTAGAGTAGAAGATGAGCGTAAGAAAAAACATCAGAAGAAAGAATGATCTACAGAAAGAAAACACTTTCCACACCTACTGTTGTATAATCCTTAAAAAGTGAGAAGTTGCACTTGTGTTATTACTCTCACCAAAATGGCTACAAAAAATGTACATCGAAGCAGCGTAAGTTTATAAAAAGTTAATTTTTACGCTGTCATCGGGTGCAAATTATATCTGTATCCAGCCGTAACTCTACAATAATTAAATAATCTTTAACACTTTGAATATATTCGTGAATGGTTGTTTACTGAAAGCAATTATTCGGTTAAAAAACAAAAGCAAAAAATTGAAATCGAGAGAACATCACCAATTCTCATATGTGAAGATTGTTTTCTTTTTATTGTTAATTATTTTCATACTCGTTTGTAACCTTTACACTGGAGTTTCGAATAAAAAGATTATTTTATTTTATTTATTTATTTTTGTTAATTCGTCATTTACTGATTAAATATGCTGATAACCTATATATATAATTTAAGTAAAAAGTGAACGCACGCGAGCGATAAGAATTATACTTCAAAAATTAATCCCTTTTCGTGCATAATTAATGTGTAAAGTTTTGTGACTGTAAGGAATCGGTGAAAGTCTGAAGATAAAAATTTCATCATTCTTTAATAAAGATAGCGGGAGCCAAGGTTGGGAACTGTTTAGTTTCGACCCCCGAAAACAAGACGAGTCTACTTTTAAGGCGGGAAAGGGATAAACACGTAAAATTTATTCTTTGTGTAGTTTCACTGGCTGCAGAACGGACGTTTCGGAGTCGCTCGAAATTCTTAGTCAGGCAGTTAAATCGCTTTATCTATATCAGAGATTTATTCTTGTACAATTATCTAAGGAATTCGTGTGCATAAAGTGATAATTTGCACCATACTAAGAGTCTATCNAATAATTATAGGTGAAATGGGCTTAGGTTTTCTTGCTGTATAATAATTCTGTACCATTAAGTAGTTTATTTTAGATAAGTATATAATAATGTTAGCAAATTTTCTCAGTGAAAAAAAAAAATACTATAAGAGTAATTTATAAGTAGTTTTAAAATTTCATTCTGCAATGCAAGATCACATATTTTTTGCAGAAGACAATACCTACCACGCAGAAGAATTTATTCAAGATACTATCCAAACTCAAGCGACAAATTCTGATTCATTTGCTCAGCTTACAAATGAGTCTGAAGTTAAGAACAGAAATTTTTCTGATGCAATCTCTGATGATAAAGATTATAACACAATGTCCAAAATCAATGATTTATCCCTGAGTCTCAAGAAACAGTGTCATCCATACAGTTTAGGTTCTCTTATTGGCTCGGGGGCCGTAGTGGGTGAGTAAGGGCTATATGCTGATGGCATGATTAGATCTGCTCTGGCATATGTAAATGTCTTCTGCTTGACATATATCTTAAGTTTTAAAATAAGCTTGAAAAAGCAAATCACCTGCATGTTACTGTAGACTTTTGAGCAGACTTGCAACATCAAATGGAATGTATAATGTTTTGTGGTTTAATATAACAGATTTTAATTCTATAATATGTTAAAATGGAACTTTAATGACAGTTTGTTATATAAGCAATATAATATCACAGCAATAAAAAAATGTTTAAGCAACACTTTTTTCATAGCTAAAAGAAGATTCTTATATAAATAATTTATGAAGAGAAAAACTAATATATTACTTTGATGAGTTTGTTGATTTCATATATTTTAATTTCAAAGTTTGATCAAATCTATACATCATCATTTTATGCTAGTATATATATTCATATGCAGTGATGAAATTTCATTAATTGTTGTTTATAGATATTTATCAAGCTTGTAAATCTCTGAATATCTTAAAATTAAACTGAAGATTAGCAAGTATATTATTTTATTTGTTCATATAATGGAATAATTTATTAAACTCACTTTCTAAGTTTTTTTATTATATATTTATCAAAAAAATAATATTGTAGTAACATACATAACATAACTTTAAATAAATTATATATGGGAAAATATAAAAAAATTCATATTATAGTATTTTTTTAAATATTTTGTATGACTCATTGACCTGTACCATTCTTGACTGTATCAAGTGAATTAATTCTATTCAAATAATATATATAATTCACATATCATTCTTTGAATTGATAAATACTTTAATTGCTCAGTTTTTCTCAAAATTGCATTTTATTAGGCTTAGACCTAGCAAAGGACAATAAATTTTAAAATTATTCACTATTTTTCTATTTTTACATTTGTCTCATGTTGTTTCAAATGAATCCAGCCTTAAATTAGCAGGAAGATTGTGATACCCTCCTCCTAAAGCAGAAATGTTCTTCTTTTTATGACTAGTTTTTTTATTTTGCATGTCAAAATTTGTTAATATTCCAGAAGAAACTTCAATTTCTATTCTTCATGTTTAAATTGGATTGCTTTTTAAAATGTAGGTCTTTTATGTATAAAAATGAGCAATCTTATTTACCTTAATATTTGAGCAATCTTATTTACCTACATACATATTTACATTGTGTATATACTATATTTCTTTGATTGAACCCAGAGGGATTTTTGAGGTCAGGATTTATTACCTTCTAACAGGAGATGACTGGGTAAAATTTTTAAAGAAATATATTAATTACTTGTACAGTTTTGGAACTGTCAATACTGTTTATTGACTGTGCTTTATTTTAGTTTTGACAGTTCCAAAAATGTACAAGTAATTAATATATTTCTTTAAAAATTTTACCCAGTCATCTCCTGTTAGAAGGTAATAAATCCTGACCTCAAAAATCCCTCTGGGTTCAATCAAAGAAATATAGTATATACACAATGTAAATATGTATGTAGGTAAATAAGATTGCTCAAATATTAAGGTAAATAAGATTGCTCATTTTTATACATAAAAGACCTACATTTTAAAAAGCAATCCAATTTAAACATGAAGAATAGAAATTGAAGTTTCTTCTGGAATATTAACAAATTTTGACATGCAAAATAAAAAAACTAGTCATAAAAAGAAGAACATTTCTGCTTTAGGAGGAGGGTATCACAATCTTCCTGCTAATTTAAGGCTGGATTCATTTGAAACAACATGAGACAAATGTAAAAATAGAAAAATAGTGAATAATTTTAAAATTTATTGTCCTTTGCTAGGTCTAAGCCTAATAAAATGCAATTTTGAGAAAAACTGAGCAATTAAAGTATTTATCAATTCAAAGAATGATATGTGAATTATATATATTATTTGAATAGAATTAATTCACTTGATACAGTCAAGAATGGTACAGGTCAATGAGTCATACAAAATATTTAAAAAAATACTATAATATGAATTTTTTTATATTTTCCCATATATAATTTATTTAAAGTTATGTTATGTATGTTACTACAATATTATTTTTTTGATAAATATATAATAAAAAAACTTAGAAAGTGAGTTTAATAAATTATTCCATTATATGAACAAATAAAATAATATACTTGCTAATCTTCAGTTTAATTTTAAGATATTCAGAGATTTACAAGCTTGATAAATATCTATAAACAACAATTAATGAAATTTCATCACTGCATATGAATATATATACTAGCATAAAATGATGATGTATAGATTTGATCAAACTTTGAAATTAAAATATATGAAATCAACAAACTCATCAAAGTAATATATTAGTTTTTCTCTTCATAAATTATTTATATAAGAATCTTCTTTTAGCTATGAAAAAAGTGTTGCTTAAACATTTTTTTATTGCTGTGATATTATATTGCTTATATAACAAACTGTCATTAAAGTTCCATTTTAACATATTATAGAATTAAAATCTGTTATATTAAACCACAAAACATTATACATTCCATTTGATGTTGCAAGTCTGCTCAAAAGTCTACAGTAACATGCAGGTGATTTGCTTTTTCAAGCTTATTTTAAAACTTAAGATATATGTCAAGCAGAAGACATTTACATATGCCAGAGCAGATCTAATCATGCCATCAGCATATAGCCCTTACTCACCNGGTGTTGTATGTTGTTTCGGACCAAAAATCCATGCCCGCGGTCGCGTTACGCGGGTGGACGTTTAATACGAGTAACTTATACGAAGACTCTATGGATAAACTATTCCGTGCCAGAAATTTTAGCCCGTCGAATGCGGGTGGCCGCCTAAGCAGTTTTCACTGTATTTGGTTCTACATCGTCGTCGTGAGGCAGTGGTAGCTCGCCCTCACGACGACCCTGCTAAATTTATTGAGGTAGAAAGGAGGGAGCTATCAATCTCTCCACCTGTAAACTTCTTTTCACTAACACAAAATAATTTTTTAAAGATTACTTTCATTAATAAAAAACGTTTTACGTACTGTACTTCACTTGTTTAAAGAGAAGAAAACAGCCTAAGGGGCTCTCTCTACCTCGAGCTCGTACAAACCCCGAAGACTACGCGATTCTTTGAGAATTGCGATAAAAAATATTCAGTTGTTTCCTTCCTCGAAAGCAGATTTTTCGGGAGAAATTTGCGCGAAGAATCTAAATATGCATGGTAAAATGTTACGAAATTTTTAATTGTTTACTTATATAAAAGCAAATAAAAACAAGTTATTCTCATATCTTTCAAAGAGTTGATATAAACAAACTATCACACAGATAAGCACTTATCCCGCTGTTTAAATTTAGAATTAAATTCAATTACCCGTAACTTCTAGATTATTTTATAGAAAAATTAGCCAAAAAATTATTTGCCGTCTTACAAGCTCTCTATTGTTAAGAAAGCAAACCTTAAATAATATCCGTACGGAATGTGTACAAATCTGAATATTAAATGCTATTATTTACTGTAAAACCTGTCCTAAACTGAACTCGAATGAAACGGGAAAAGTTCTTCGTAATGGAGCGATTCTTTGTGTTAAAAAACCCTGTTCAAACCGGAAAAGATTTCGAGTACCGTGCGATTCCGGTTTACACAGGTTTTACTGTATTAAATTAAAACTGAATTTACGAATACTTTCATCGTCGCTATCGGGAATAATTGAACTTTGCGCTCGAATATTCGCCATGAAAACTAATTTTTTGTGCTTTTAATTAACATTTGAACGGACTAAGAGAAGCAAATGTAAAATTCTGCTACAGAGATACACCTGGTCCGAATAAATTCTTTTGTGAATAAGTTTACAAATTATAAGTGCTCCTTAACCCACCCCAAACTATTTACTAGTCTTTCCTCTGAGGAGTAATTTAAGTCTTCGTAATTTAAACTGACCTGGTAGGATGTCGAAACAAAATTTAAGTTGTTTATTCGGTTTGTAATTACCGAAATTACCTTTTTCGTTAATAAATTTTAACTCGACATATCGTCTTAGCTAATGAATAGTCTCAATAAATAAGGTTTCTAGTCATTTATACAGATGTACTGTACTGTACAAGATGTGAAAAATGTCGCGCCCATCAAAATATTACTGTAATTTGTGTAACTTATGTATAGAAGCACGATTTTGTTTACTCGCTTTGAAGCTCAGTAATTGCTGTGCCTTTTGTCGAATGTTTCTGAAATTTTGCAGGGAGGTTTGTGTATTAGGGGGATTGATACTATTCAATTTTCGTGATTAAAAGTCGAGGAGGTGGAGAGATAAAGAGGGTCGTGTGTATAGCCGGTAGGGACGGATATCATGAACGTTTTACTCGTTATTAGTATTTACCATTACTTTTTTAAAACTCTACCCTCAAAATTTAGCTTTTTGCCATTTTATAATAATTAAAACAAAAAGTTTTTAAATAAAATATCATAAAGGCGTCACATACAATTTAAATTATTTTGCCGGGAAAGTTATGCAACTTGTTGTAGGATTTTATTATTATTATATCATGACTTGCAGATAAGAACATTATTTCTGGATTCTGTATAAAAGTCATAAAATTGGCTGCAGTAGGTCTATAGCTTTGTTCATCGAGGAAGTGAAATGGTCTTGTCCAGGAACAGCAAGTTTTCATTGTTGAACATTATTTCGCCAGTCGCTCTCATGCACGTGTTGCGGATGAGTTTGATCGGAAATATGCTGATTCTGCAGATATTGCGAGGATTTTTTATTCTGACCGGAATCTCAAGGGATGGTGTATAAAACTAATCCACACAAACACACAATAGTTTAACTAAAGAGGAACGTTATAATGATTATCGGTATCAGTGTTAGTGAGGTAACCATTTTAAACGTGTAATTTTAAGCATTAAATTCTCTTTGTAACTACTGTAGTCTTAAATATCTTTTCTATTTTATAATTTTCTGGCCTTTCAATTTTATTTTCTGTATTAATTTCACAGTAATTTCTCTTCCCCTCTCTATGACACGAGTTATTTTCTATGTAGAAATTGTCAAAAACGACAGTAAAGGTAAATTAAAGTGGTAAATTGCATCACTCAAGTACTATTAAACTACTGTTTGTAACTGTAATTATGTATTGAATTTAAGTATCCAGCACATAAGCCCTAAACATAAGCACAAACCTCTCATCATCGACAGATACACTAATTTGAAACCAAAATTTTAAGTAAAAGACGAGAAGTGTGACGTGTAACAGAAGAAACAATTGCTTAGTGTTTCTCTTTTTTCGTGACAATAAAAGAGAAACACTAAGCAATTGTGTTCCTCGTAGTGTTTATCATCAATCGGTATCTCAATTTAAAAGACTAAAATTCAGTTTCGTCATAGAATAAGTAATGAAAAATTGTGCTCATTTCAATCGGTCCGAATCGTAGATGTGCGACAAAAATATGAAATGAAATGGTTCAAATTTATACAAAATATTATTATTATTTATTGTGAAATTTTGCCGCCCCCACTACGCTACGCCACTGTATGTAAGTTAATGAAGTTTCGGAACAGAAGTAAGAACTAACTACTAATGCAGAGTGACGAGTCGCCTTAATTTAACTCTTCCTAATAATGTCACCCGAGTTCGCTTCAGAGACAAAGTAACAGTAATAATTAATAGTGTAAAATGTTTTTCTTAAAATCTCACAACAGATCGTGTGGCACACAATTTTTAACTATCTCTAAACTTCTTTCACTTGGAAAAGGTGGTTCATTTCTCTTAGAAACTGATAATAAGTAGTCAAGTACCACCTCTCATTAAAAATCTCTTTCCCTCCTACCGTTTCCCAAACAATATATTTATTGTTCTAACGTTTTATTCTTTGAAAGAAAATGAAATAGGCAAAGCTTAGTAATGCGGTAAGAGACAGGTAAAGAAAGGAGTGTATAAGAAGTAAAACGTGTCACGAAAACATACGAGATCAGAGGAAGATATACAGTACAAGACAAGTTGGAAGAATAGCAGATAACAAGTAGGTTAAAAGATACTTGGAATGAATGCCAAGACAATGGAAGAGGAAGAGATCATCCTATCATCTTTTTTACTGTTTTCTTCACTAGAGGGAATAGACATCATCTCCAGCATCAGGATTTATATTCTGCATTGAATAATTATAATTGCTGCTGATAATGATGTTTATTTTTTGTTTTGAGTTGTACTGCACTTGAGTCTGATTCGTAATCTTTCTTACAAACTGGTTTTAATCTTTCAACCCGAGTGTCGAACTTTTCTTTCAAAATGTTGCACAAGTTCACCGAACATGGAAACATTCCTATGTTTAAGTGTTGACTCCATTACTTTCTACTTTAAAATAAGTACACATTTTGTATAAAATTTAAATAATTATACAGTATAAGGTAAGTAAATAATAAATTTTATAAGTACTATGTAAAGCAAGAAGTGCTGAAACTGGAGAGTCCACCTAACTTAGTTATTTAGTTATGTTATATATAACAGATCGGCCAGTTAATCGTGTTTAAAGCAAGTCAATGACAATCTGCCAGTTAATCGTGTTTAAAGCAGTTTTAGCTGCGATTATTGGTTAGTAACTATGTATTCTGTGAGAGAATGTGTGGCCGCGCTTTGTTTCTAATTGCAGTAGAAGGAAACAGTGTAAACTGATACTGTACAAAGAACACGAGCAACTTCTTTACATAGATGGTAGACAAGGAGTAACATCTCCACAGGAAATTGATATCATCTCAAAGAAAAGCTCTACTTTTATTAACTAGGGCATACCGGACAGCTCCTAATTGTAGTATGCAAGTAATTTCTAGAAAACCACCAATAACTGAGATTATTCAAATGGAATATAATCTCCAACAACTCAAAATGGGAATCGATATATCTACATCCACATGTGACCTTAGTTCCAGTGTTTATGAACATCAAAGTCCCATCAATACCAGTCTACCGCCTAATATCAACAATTTTCTTAGCATTGATCTGCCTAGCTATTCCGATTTAAAGATATACACTGATGGCTCTGGCATAAACGACTCCATTGGATGTGCTTTCGTAGCATACTGTAACGAAATGGAAATCTACAATCAAAAAGGAAAACTGCATAAACTTTGCACTGTATTCCAAGCTGAATTACTTGCGATCTACATGGCTACCCTATGGACCGAGCAGAATTTTACTAGAAAGTACATCCATATTCTAAGTGACTCCTTCTCTGCGATACAGGTCATTTACAGTCAACAATTACATCCGGTTGCAACTAATATTCGCAACATAATCAGCAATTCTCATAATAGCTATACCATATCTTGGACTAGAGGACACAAAGGTACGGTAGGAAATGAACGTGCGGATCAATTAGCGAAGGAAGCCGCTACTGACGATTCATTAGACATCATGTATGATAAGATTTGTAGAAGAAGTATTAAAAAACTTTTATACGAAGATTTATTAAGCAGATGGCAACACAACTGGGATTGCAAACATAATGACACGACTTATAAATTCATACCTAACATCAAGAAATATCACAACAATTATAAATGGGTAATTCCAAGCTTCTCACTTACTCAGTTTCTTACCGGGCATGGTAAATTTTCAAAATATCTACATCGATTTGTGAATAAGCAAAATGATCAGTGTGCCATATGCGGTCAACCGGACAGCGTCGAACATTATATTTTTACCTGTATCGCTCTTGAAACAGAACGTTTAGAAATAAAAACCATTGCTCATAGATATAACCTCAATTGGCCATGCAAACAAGAGGATCTTATAAAAAATAAAGAAATTTTTTCTTCTTTTCTACTACTTATTAAACGCCATGAGGCTATAGCAATCTATGCAACTAGGGAATAATCTTGATTTTATTCACTTGGTTTTTACTTATAACTTGTCTTGAAAAACTAGTCTAACGTACTTGATATAATGGTTTATTTTCTTTCATCAAAGCTTAATCACCAATTGACTGGTTAGGTGCTTGTCGTCTTGTTCTTTAGAGACTCAGCGGTTTTATTTGGTCGTGAAAGCACTAGTTTGACTGTCGGAATTGCTATATTTGATATGGTTTTGAAATTAATTCTCTTACATTTCCTGTTGTCAATCGCTAATGACTCTATTTTTTCATTTGCTCACTTTGCTGATTTGCCAGGATAATTGACAGATATTTTGACAGAGATAAAACTGTTAAAATTTTGACAGAGATAATTGACAGAAATAAAACTGGTCTTTTACCATATAAAGGCTTTGATAGATATGTGATTATTATTCACATTCAATATACTATGATCACTATATTTCATTTGTGACCCTTGCGTTTCGTCAACGTGTCAGTTATCTTCATAACTCAATGCTACAGACATATGACTTAATTGTACAACTGTGGTGCAAAATAAAGTGCTTCAGTATGGATTATGCATATCCTGGATATATTATTTGTGCTACAGACGTGTGACTATATTACAAGTGTTTGTGCTGCAGGCAAGTATCTTTAATAGAGCCTTGTGTCCTTGTATCATCAATTACATATGGTCCATCATGATGTGATTAGACAAGAATACACCATCTGATTGGGAAGACATTGTGGAACATACGACTTCGCTCCATAAACTTTAAATGGTCGACAGTCTGTGTTACCCTAACATCTGTTATAAACTATTAATGGCTTCATCATTGATGATCTTTGACAAAACTCACCATCAAAATAAACTGTGCAATAAACAACTCGACTTCATGAAATCTGAAGGATCTCCACCTGTAATACGATATAAATACAACACGCTCAACAAATTGTCAAATAGTATAAGTTTAGTTCTAAGATAGTCATAAGTTTAGTTTTAATTTAGATTTAGTTAATCTTAATTTAACTTTATTTTATCTTTATGTTTTTTTTTTTTTTTTTATGTATTTCTTTCTATTAATATTGTTAAACAATCTGCATGACAGATTGTAAGTATATATCTACTATGTTACACCAAAAACTTGTATTTCTATCTTAATTCACTACTGTGATATCGATATGTAACTTTATACTAATAATGTACTACTCCGCCGTCTTTTGTTTACTTACAATATGTTAAGCGGTTTCTTCATCTGCGAAATATATTTTGATAAATAATGTGCATATATCTCTCAGCTATGTATTAAACGGTACTGAGAATGCACCTACAGGGTGTTTAATAAAAGAATTGAATTGAATTGAATTGAATTGAATAGACAAGGAGTACACCGAGGCTTAAAAATCAAAAAATCAATGCTACTGCTGTTTAAATTAAAATGTACAGATGGAATGATTAAATAAGTGAATTAAGTATAAGTGTAAAGAATATACTTAATTAAAAATAACAGCAATTTAGGAATTGTTGTATTTATAACAAAAGACAGTGTTTGTTCTATGCATACTCTAACATCGCATGGATGCCATCTTTGAGACAAAGCTCAACTGTTTACAATGCGCGCTTCTGCCAATATTTATGTTCAATTGAATTAGGAGAGTGTGCATTTTATGAAAAGTAATAGTAACAGAAAACAATTACGTATTGGCAGTAGACTGCTGCAATAATATGGCAAAAGTAATGTTTTCTTCTAAAAACACGGCGTCGAAATGACAGTAGTGAATGTATTAAGTGATAGGTACTGTACACTACAAAACAATTGATCTTACTTTTTTTGTTGGTTTATAAGAATATCGCCGAGACATTTGAATATTAAAAATATACGTTTGTCATTCAATCCTACTGATGTTTAGATCTAACATTAAGCAGGCAAACACGAACAGTAACAAAAAGGAACTTTATTAGAAAAGGTTAGAACTGTCACAGACATCCTCGGGCAACACCCGGACAAAATCCAACGAACTTTCGCGCCTTTTCTTTTTTGACGTTGCCAGCCACTCTTGTTGGCAAGTGTTGCCAGACAGAGTTCGTGATCTTGGCAAGTGTTGCCAGACAGTGTTCAGGATCTCTGGCGCTGGCGGCCACATACGTAAAGTAGTATACGAAATGACTGAACGAAGATAAAAGTGGGCCATAAGTATATCACACGACAATCGATATTCAATCTTATTATATAAATATCCTTAGCGACGATTTTTTTACTTCTCTTTCATACAATAGTTAATATGGAGTTTGCAGTTTATGTACGCTATTTACTCCTAGAGGCGAGAATATGGACGATTAGCAGGTTTTAGATAAAATGCCCATATACGCGCGGGGGGAAATAAAGCCTTCCGGGAGGTTTTTTAAAGAAAACTGGCCTCTATTCAGGCGTTAGACGTGGAGAAAACCCGGAAAACTCCACGATCGAACTGCCAGTGTTCAGGGTCCAGTCCGCTCAAATGTTAGCGACGTTTAAGCGTGCTACTTTCTTATAACTTGAACTGCACCTAAACGGAACTGGTGTCGCCATCTGTTAGATAAACAATCTGTAAACGAACCTATTATTATTGTTAGAAATAAGTTCAATAGAAAATTAGTACAAATTGGAGAAATTTTAACCTTGATTTAATAATTATATTATAAGTAATATTGGCGAAAAAAGATATAATTACTTGTAAATCAAGAACGTTTATTATTTATATAATTTTGAAGTAACTATTATGAAAATGTTTTGTCACTTGTACCACTTTTCTACTGACCTATTTATAAAAAGATGTGAAAAAACAGTTGACTTTACGAAATAGTCTTTGAAAATTCAACCTAATTTTGACTGACGTAAGATGTTCTGTAAGGTTTAAGAAATATTCTCAGTTTAAGAGGACATTTTCTCCAAATGAACAGCCAGGACGTATTTTCAGAGCCGTATATCAACTGACTTTAGAGTTATCAACAATTGATTATTATTTATTGTAAAATGATTTGTTTTTCTTTGTAGCAAATTTCTAATATGAAAGAAAGAAAAGGCGAGGAAATGTCAAGATCTGAAGAAATTGCTTCTCGTGTGTTGAAAATGCCAGAAATTGTTCATGGCATATTTAAATACATGAGTGATGTAGACTTACAGCAGTGTGGCCAAGTATGCGCCTACTGGAAAGAGGTTGTTGACGGCATGTTATTTAAGAGAATACCAGTGTTTCGTAAGGTAATTATCTGCCTTTTGTTATTCTAAATTTAATTATTATTACATTTTTAACTCTCATGTACTGACAGCTTGCTTAATTTTAGTTATAGCGATGGAATTGTATAATTAACGTGTAAGCAATCCCAAGAGATTTTTTACGGAGTATATGATTTATATAGCCAATTCTATTAAAATTATATGAGTATGAAACCTTGTCTATATATTCATTTAGGAATGTGTAAGGGGAGCATTGAATACTGCACGTGTGTGCAGTATTCGATGCTTTCTTCATACATACATAACATCTCCAGAGAACTATTTCACCTATCCAGCTGTACTTAACATAAATGCAGTAGACTGTTATCAACTTAGAGGCTTTCCCCCTAGATTAGATCAGAAGAATTAAATATCGAACTTTATTAGTGTAGTAAGATTAAGTGCAATTCTCTGGGCTTGCTTAGCATGCGCCTCATGCTTTTTACTGTCAATATACTTTTTATATGAGAACAGATATACCAATAATGATTTATTCTAACGTGTAAACTCTTTTATCATTTGCGCTCGCTTTTACATTGACAGCTAGCGGCTAGCCATTTTAATTCAGTGCGATGCTTGCTTGTGTGCAGCAAACAAGTGCGTCATTCGAAGCATTTAACACGTCCAGATTGTACGGAAAGCTTGCGGTCCCCAGTCAGCATACATGTATTGTGTGATTTCAAATCTAAGTTGTCAATTGTTGTGAGTTACGTGCAGTACATTGTCGTAAGTAATGGGCTAATTATGGAAGTGAAAAGTTTTGTATAATCAGTGACCTGTTACGGAAACAGTTTTCTAGAAGAAATGTGGCTGAAAAAGTCGAAATTGTGAGAAATAATAGACAGTGTCCTGAGATTCCAAATTTTACTTCCAATCATAAAGACAAGAATGGAAAGTATGTACGACATTTTAAAACATCTCAATACGCAAATAGCCTATAGCTTGGCTAGCTGAATCTAAAACATTAAATAAACTAAATATCACTTTTGGATAGCTGTTATTATGTTCAATGTATGTCTTGTCTCTTTAATCCGACATTAAGTTCGGTAGACTATCAGTACAGATTTCAGCTTAGATACTTCTTTTATTGTTTCCACATACGCATTTCGGACTTATATAAATGCTAAGTTCCTCTTCAGTGCAATACTATGGTTCTGTCTTCTAAAACCACGGTGTGCAACGAGTAACATTGGAAAAATTTTAAAATACAGCCATTAAAAACACCTGAAATACATTTTCACCATTAAGAGGGAAAACCTAATATATCAATAACTTTATAATTTTTTACTTTATAACATCATATATCTTAGTAAAATAACAATCTAACGCGATACTCACTTTTAACATTTGTTCATAAAATCTTATATAAGTACAACTTTTAAATAATGTGTATGTTCTACAATATAACGTTGCAGTAACTGCAATTATAATAGTTTTACAGATAGCATAGTAATATTAAAAACATTTTTTAAGGGATACATACACACTTTTACAATATATTTCCAATTTTTTCCTCTCTTACATTATTATTATAAATACATCACAAGTTCACAACCAATTTTTTTCATTAGTGCCACTGTTGATCTATTTGCATACCATTTGATATATTGATTAAATTATCATCTTTAAATTTTATAATCTCAATATGTTCTTTAAATTTACGTTTATACATATCTTTTTCCAAATGAATTATTTTTTATGTTATTTCTGTCTATTTGACAATTACTTTTTATATGGTTGAACCACGGAGAATTATTGTGTTTTAATCTAATTGCTGCCTCGTGTTCTTTAATTCTTAATTCTGAAGTTCTACTAGTTTCACCTATATCATTTTTTGCTTCTTGGCAATTACAATTAATTTTATATACAACTCCTGATTTTTTTAATTTATCAACTTTCGTTTTATATTTATTATTATTATTATGAATATTATATGAAATCTTATTGGTCAAAGATGGGGCCAGAACAATATTTTCTTTTTTAAAATCTTACTACAATTATTATAAACATCATTGATATAAGGAAAAGCTTTATAATTCTTATCTTTTTTATATTTGGTATTAAATCTGTTTTTATAATACTGGTTGTGCCACATTTTTAATTTCTAACTGGGGTAATTATTCAAAATAAACGTATTCTCTAATTCTTTTAATTCAAGTTTACGATTTATATTATTAGTAGTTCTTGTATAGGCTATATATATTTTACACCCGTTATGTAGGTGTTCTTTTTTATAGTTTCGGGGATGCGGGATTGATAATTGATGGTTTTATTGACGTTACATGGTTTTTTAAATGTCTTGAAAGAAAATTTGTCTATTTCATTAATTATTGTTATATCTAAAAAATTTATTTGGGTGCATTTTTCTAATTCAATATCATATTTTATATCTTCATTTATATTATTTATAGTATTTAATATTACTGTATCATTCGTTATATTATTATAATAAATTAAGAGGTAGTCATCAACATATCTCATTACCAATTATAGGGGTATTTTGTATTTTTTCATCAATATTTTTCATAACTAATTCAGCAAGTTTTGGCCCCATCTTTGACCCCATACTGACACCAATTATACTTTTACGTTTACGTATATAATTATATTATAAATATTCGAATAACGTAATTATTTTATTATTAATAATAATAATATACAAAAAACATATGCATTGGGAGGATTTTGATGCAGACAAAAATCTATATCATATTTGTAGAAAAAGTACATTTCAGTACTCAGTATAGCCTCATTTGGCCTTTAAAACTTTCCTAATGCGATCAGGCATAGAATTAAAAAGATTCCTGCAATCGTGCAATAGTATTTCGTTCCACTCATCCTGTACACTTTCTCATAATTGAAGGATGCTTTCGGGCGAAGCCGAAACTCAGACAACTGACGTTAAAGACGGGACCAAATGTGTTCAATCGGTACGAGATCAGGCGATTGAGGCAGCCACTCGAGCAGGCTAATATTTTGATCCCGAATTCGCAACATTACCCTCCTGGATGTACGTTTTGCATCGTTACCTTGCCGATAAATGAAAAAGCTTTTATCAATATGGTAATAATAAAAAATTGTAATAAACAATTGTCAAGTATTTCAGTGTAAATAACTCTATCCATTCTATTAGGTTTAGAACATAGCATTCCATGTTCAAAATACAGCCTCAGACCACGAGACTACCACCACCAAATTTCAATGTTGTTTGTACTTCTCGCTCAGTTATAGACTTCATCGATATAGTCCATTCCCATAGTTTCTCATCTGAACCATATAATCCTCTTCCAATTTTTTAGGTCCAATCTTTATAGTGTTTTGCGAAATTAAGACGTTTCTGTTTATGTAATTTCGTAAGTTTAGGCTTCTGAGCTTTGAAATTGTTACGTTTTAGGCATCTGCAAATAGTTGAAGAACTCGTTTCTATTCCTAAGCCACGTTTCAGTTCCCTCTTTACTTGTGATAATGTATCGCATCATCAGTGTTATCAAATTTCTGTTTGGAGCTCAACGTTTTCTTGCTGCCAGCTCTTAAATTTTCTAATATGGTGAGCTACCATATCACGAAAATTTTTATTTTCTATCAGCTCATTTTCTGTTCTGGATACACTCGAACGCCAACACCAACTTCTAATTCTGTTTTCTCAACAGAAAAACTTTTTCAGCTATCAATATGATTTAAGATAAATAGCAAATACAATTGCCTTACCATTATCTTATTTAATTAATAAATCCTTCGAGCGAGGGAGGTTTCCGGAGAAGCTTAAACACAATCTCGTAATCCCAATATTTAAAAATAAAGGATCTAAACAGAACTTCGAGAGCTATCGTCCAATTACTATTATTCAGAGTATAACTAAAATAATTGAAAAGGCTTTCTATAAAAAATTTTTTAGATTTGTAAATAAATATAAAATTATATCTAATAATCGGTACGGTTTTAAAAGAGAGGCCTCTACAATTGATGCTTTGACTCGTCTTAAACAATATATCAGTAACAGTCTGGATAATTCAAATATTGTAATGTCGGTGTTTATCGATCCGACCGAGGCTTTTGATAGCGTAGATATTCAGATATTAAAACAAAAATTGTTTAAAGTCGGATCGAGAGGAGTGCCATTAGAATGGCTAATATCCTATTTATCAAATCATACGTACTACGTTAAAGTAAAAAATTCGATATCGAAACCTTTTCGAGTGAACAAAGGTGTACCACGGGGATCCATTTTGGACCTTCTACTTTTTAATATTAATATAAATTATATTGTAGAGATTATTCCCGAGAATAATATTATATTGTATGCGGATGATATTGTTATAACGTACGCGGATTGGAATCTTCAATTAGTTGAAAATAATATAAAATCTTTGCTGTCTAAATTAAGTAAGTACATGGAGAATAATAACTTAAGTGTAATTGAAAATAAAACAAAATATATTTGTTTATCAAATAAAAACAAAAAGTTAATGTAGAAGATATACAAGTTAGAATAAATAATGGACGTATTCGTAGAGTTAATAGTGTAAAATATTTAGGTATCGAAATTGATGATAAATTACCATGGAATAATCATGTAAATAATTTAACACCGTCTTTATCTACATTTATTGGAATACCGAAAAGAATAATGAGTTTTTTTTTTAATTTTGAGACTGTTTTGCGCTCGCGTGGAACCCAAACTTTGATACGGTATTACCGTATGGGGTACAGCTTCTTTTTTGTATCGAATAGGTTGCGAATTATATAATGCTCTTGTAAAGTTATTTTGTATAAGTTACTTTATGATTCTTCCGTCACTTCTTTTTATAACCAGACCAAAATTAATAAAATAGAAGCTTTATATAAAAAAACAAGTTCTTCTATAAAGTTTTAAGCTAATAAAGATGGGCGAGAAAGAATCTTATATAAGTGATGAGTTAAATAAATATTTTAGACCTTCTAACTACAACTATCGATGGAAAAATAATTTGATTCTACCAAAAGTTAAGCACCGTTTTGGGCGAGACGCACCAATTTATCAACTTATATGTAACTGGAATACTTTAAAAGAAGAATACAAAGATTTGAGTACTCACCGGTAGTTTAAACGGGCTGTAAAAATATTGAGCCGCGATTAGTTGTGTGTATTTTTATTTTATTATTATTGTTTCTTTTTTCTCTGTTTTTTTATTGTTTTGTTGATTGTATATTATATATATGTCTGTATCTTTAGTTATTTTTTGACCTTTGAGAAAGGCCAATGGTCATAGGGTCGTTTGATTAAAATAAATAAGAAAAAAAATAATATGGAGTTTCTTTCCACTGGAAAGCTTCTTCACGATGCACGATTTCTATCAAGCAGCATTTCATTTGCGTATTTATACGCCAATTATCTCGTTAATATGCACGATATTACATCGTTTAACGTTAATGTTATAACAAATTAATTTATGCGTTAAAATCCCCCTAATGCAACAAGCAGAATATATATGTTAAGCTCAAAGAACGAAAACGCTCATTGAGCGAAAAAAAGTCCACAATGCGTTATGGTCACTTTAAATCATCCACAACGCGTTGTAATTAACTGTAGAAACCACAAAGCGAAATTCTCGTCATGGATTAAGAAAAGCCATAACGCGTTCTGAACGTTAGCTGATGTAACCGCGATAGAGGGTGATACGTTGCACAGCGGTTTCTAACTTTAAAATATGATTCTAGCCTCGAAACATTTTTATTTACAATTTTTAATGCCGAATAACATTAATTCTACAAGTTCAAACTATTGAATTTTTTAATAAACATATTTTCACAAGATTGTGGAAATAAAATTGTAAAAGTAATAATAAAAAGCAGAAATCAATATTTTTAACAAGAGCCGCATTTGCCCATGTCTGTACTAGTAGGTGCTTGATGCATTCTACACGATAACATAAAAATCAGCTGCTAAAGTTAAAAACCATTGTGCGACGGATTTGTTACGGTTAAAAGCCACCACAAGTTCTGGATGTTAACTAATAACGATGTGATGATAAAAAAATAAAACTTTCTTTTTCATTATGATTTATTTATCTTCAATTATCTTATATAAATAGGTAACAAAAGTATTCACCACATACAAAAATGTAACTCGGTTACTTTTCAACATTTAATAATTGGCGAAAATCTGTTGCCGTGCTCGAGATGTCAACATTTTCAAACAACTAATCTACTAAAATTAATTACTTTGTCACTAACTTTTATTAACAAGTCAGTCTTTTTTATGAGAATCGAGAAGAGTGCGAAGTTATTTCTACAAGAACTATTACCGTGATATTTCTAGTTGCATTTTATGTTCTTTGAGCGACATTTGCATTTTTATCAATGCAGTATCTTTTACAGTGAGACATTATAAACCCTCGCTTACTTCCAGATGTTAACGTGAATGCAGAGCGAAGTGTTAATGAAGTCGAGGATACGTCCTGAATGTCAATAACGTTACTCTCAGAAATTGTAAATTTATTGAGCATAAAGTAGATCGAGAAGACCTTTCTTGTGTCCTAACTGATGGAGACCCGATGGATTAATGATGAGACCTAATGGCCTCGTAACAACAGCTAAAACATTTCTGGAGTTGCGCGTCCCCTATTATTACCAGGCACCCTAACTAAAACATTCGAACCAATTTCAACTGCAGGGAATTTTAAGTTGGATAGTGCCTGTTTCTCTAGGTCGGATTTGGCATATTCTCTCTTAGCATTGATGCTGTTCTTTCTTAAACAGAGCCTGCAAGTAACATTTATACCAAATCTCCCATTCTCGTTGCTTTCTCCGCTGATAACGTGAACATTTTCAGGACACTCCGAACACTTGTGAGCTCCTGAGGTTTCATTTCGCTTTGCGACCTTTTTGAGTTAGTCACAACGGGCTGTTTTTACAAGTGCCACAACTCGTTGCGGTCACTTTAAATCATCCGCAACGCGTTGTGGTCGTTTTTTTCGCTCAATGAGCATTTTCGTTCTTTGAGCCTAACATATACACTACAGATACTTTTAAAATACGAAAATTATCCTAATTTTTTGCTATTATGTGAACATTGTAATAATCTTATAGTTGATTTTTTCCTTTTTCTTTTACTTTCGCATATCGAATAGCTTTTGCTATTTTTCTATAGTACGTACGAACTTTGGGAGGATTTTGACGTTTAATGTATCATTAACATCGTTTATAAATTATGTAAGTTAAGATAGTTTTGGAACAAAGTTAAGAATTGTGTTAATTGTCAGTAATAAAAGTATCAAGAACGAAAACATAATGGTAAATTCAAAAATATATTTTTTGTTTCATGCAGTTTGTCCTTACAAAGATTTAAAAAACAAAAAGAATTCATTTTGGGGTTTTTAAGGGATTTTGATTGGTAATTAGGGAGAATTAGGTCCATGTTGACAACACTAATAGTAACTACTGACGATGTGCATCTATTCTAAATGACATTTATCCAATGCACGGTGTTCATATGTTTTAATGTATTGTAAATCATCTACATATTCTTTATACTTTTTCTGTGTAATAGTTAATGATTTTACTAGAAAGTGTTAAATAAACAACAATTGTTTTTAAGGAGATGTTTAATAGTCCCTAGTACTTTCGCTTGTGTAATTAACGAAGTTCGAAAATATTAAAGTTTGCGAAAACGGCTGTTTTGTCCTTCAATAAATTGACTCAATTGGAAGTGACAGCTAATAACGAATTATCTGGATCAGTATTCAAATTAAATTGGATAATCTCCACTCAGCTTCTTTTTAAATAAAACACTCAACACCTTATAACACTGAGATATATTTATTAAAACACAAACGTTTTCAGCCTAATGGAATAGGCCATCATCAGGTGATTTGCTATGGTACAACTTTTGAAAATTCTGTTAAATGGAACTTTCGAACCTTACAAATTCAAAATTATAACGTAAAATAAATTAACCAATCAATATACAAAATAACTATAATAAATAGATTAAAGCCATATTAATATAAATAATAAATAATAAAATAAGGTGATATAAAAATAAAAACAAAATAAAAAACAAAATAAAACAAAAATGAATGAACCTAAAAGATTAAATGCACAAAAAGGATTAAATTCATAAAATATATACATCAAAAACATCACATTATAAAGGGCAGAAAGGAATTAAGAATTTGTGTATTTTAACTTTTTTTTACAAGGAACTTCCACGCCGAAGGTAAACCATCAGTATCTCTTGCATTAATACAGCCGTCTCTTAATTTACTCTTATAAATTTCAATTTTTTCATGTTGCAACGCCAAAGATGGGGACCGCAACGTCTTGAGAATAGATGCTTCGTTCCATTTCACTACTGAAGCCTCCGCTTGTGCCATATTTGACAAAACCGTGGTACAATGTCCTTTACTAATGTCATATCTGTGTTCTTTAAGCCTAATAGCCAAATTTTGTCTAGTAACTCCAATATTTAATATCTGACCAGAGGAGGCGTGGGGGAGGGGAGAGGTATGAAAACGGATAGAGGTGAGGGTGACAGTTACCTTGGAATGTACTTCGAATCGTCTCGTTACGCTGTTCGTATTACTGTGAATCTACTTATCATTTTGTTTTAACAATGTATATTTTTACGACTTTACTGTTTTACCAGAACCTCGGTTTATTGTTATGTTATTGTATCAACATTACCGTTTTTAATGGAAAATCTTGTTTATCGTGTGCTTAGTCTTTTAATTAATGTTCAACGCATCGAATCCGCGTGTCAAATGTAAGTCCACATTCTTTGTTCATTTCTGTCAATCATGATCTTTTTATAAAAATTGTTAACCTCCTATTAATTTTGTAGCAAAAACTGATGAGGGACTCCGTGTCCGAAATGCATTCTGAAAATAAAATAGCGTTTTTCTAAATCTAATTTGATGTCCTGTGGTGGTGTAATAAGTCTAGCAGTAAAGTAAAGCCAATCTTAGCGCTCACAAGACATTCTTGAAGGAATTAAAGTAATCCAAAACTTTTCAGAATATTCGTTGTTTGTTCTTATCGTTTTATTCTTTTATTTGATTATTAAATAATGTACTATAGTGTATTATTAATTTAAAAAGAAATGAGAAGGAGTAGGTTGTAGGGGTGAAGAATGAGAGTGAGGACAGAGAATGTGTGTGAGAATTCTACGATATTCCAGAAAATTTTAATCTTTTTTAAAAATTCTGGAACTTTCTAGAAAAAACTGGAACATTTTNAGTGTATTATTAATTTAAAAAGAAATGAGAAGGAGTAGGTTGTAGGGGTGAAGAATGAGAGTGAGGACAGAGAATGTGTGTGAGAATTCTACGATATTCCAGAAAATTTTAATCTTTTTTAAAAATTCTGGAACTTTCTAGAAAAAACTGGAACATTTTCATTGAAGCGTCACACATTTTCTAAGTCGATCACTTTCAATTCTCATATCTCCCACACTCTTATAGCTAGCGAGACGCAACCACCATAGTGTACGATGGGAGACTTGGGGCTACTACCACACAAACACCATTCATGTGCGATGTGTAGTTTTGGTTGCAGAGTGAAATATAGGCACAAACACGTCCATTTATATATATATAGATATAGATAAATGCAACCAACAGATTGAACTGATATTAGCAGTAAATTTTTTTACCAATAGAAATCACATACTAAAAATCACTTTATTCTGAAAAGAAGTGCATTTATTGGCTTCACCTGACTGCAATAAGGATCCACACACGCACAAAATAGAAAAATAACAACAGCTTGCATTTAATATTAACAAAGAAATACATATTAAAATTGCTCTTTTCATTGTCTTTATTTCATTTAAACTATTCAGCTATTTGAACAATAAACATACAGTACTTTTGGTGTGGTAAAATATATGAATGGATAGAACTTTTGTCTAATTAATTTGCCATTTTTTAACAGAAAATACCAATTTCAATGCTGAACACTTTAGCAGACAATTCTGAAAAACTACGTTTTTTAGTCAATTATGGTGATAACTTTCACTTTCAATGGTTTTATTTGAAACCACGTATTGTTTGCCATTCGATGTGTCCACGTTGTCCCAAACAATTTATTCCACGGACAGATGATGAATTATTCGATGCAGTTACTTTCTTTAAGGAAAATAAAAATAGTAAGTACTTGCATTTTACGCAACTATCGCTTCTATGATACATAGTATTCATATTTAACCATTTACTTAATTATAGAAGAAAACGTCCAACTACCATTTAATGTGCACCCATCAACAGAAGATGAAATCGAAATAAATATTGCAATGTTTCCATCAGTTCCGGGCTTTAATATTCGTCATTTTTCATTTACAATTGAAGAAAGAAATAAAATTATTAAAGAGAAAATGCCGTATGTGTCAAAGCTACTCAAGATACCAGAAGAAGAACTGAAGTGTGTTATCGGAATTAAAGATTATGGGATCCATTTCTATGACGATGGAACTGGTGCATACACTACTTACACGCTCGAAAGGGAGATAACAAGGGGCATTGCCTTTTATGGTGAGCGAGTTCAGGCAGTTTCTTTATACATCGAAGGTGACGAATGTGATTTTTATAGTGTCAAACAAAAGTTAGAGAGACTGAAGTTTTTGAAATCCAGCATGGTGCAAGAAAGATGTTTCGCATACATTTTCCGTAGGATATGCAAAACACGATTGGGTCCTACGCTAGAAGCTTTCAAAGCGACATTTCCTTTCGCTACCTTTGTTGATTATATCTTTTCTCCTCAATTTGAAGTGTTGAATCCACTCGAAAATTACAATTTTGATTGCATTAAAGATGCTTGTCCCTGTACGCACGTCGCGAGGATGGTTTTTATATGGTACGATTGAAAATGTTCTAAGAAATGCAATATTCTAACTCCTGAAGCAAATTAAACGATACTGTAACAATGTACAATCTACTATGTGAAAATGTTGTAATAAAATGCAACATTTTTCATGTTGCAACATTGTACGTTTTTCTGTAATGGGCTGAATTATGTCCTAACATTTGTTCAATATAGAAGTGAAGAGTTTCTGATAGGGGTAAAAAGTTTCAGGGAGATCTCAGAATTTATTTGATTAGCGTTTCTAAACAGCAACCTCAATGAAAATTTAGCTTGAAAATAAATTATAAAATGACTCAGGGTATCTTCTATTTGAAGTTAAAATCATTTGCAAAAAATAAAAATATTTTCGAGTCTATTCTTTTACACAACTACAGATGTAATAGTTAAAACGGCTGGACGAAAAAACTTCATTAAAATGACAAATAATAATAATAATAATTCACACAAAGTTAAAATTGATATCAAACGTCAGTTTTTTATTAGAGGATCACATTAAAAACAAAGGTTACATTTTCTCACCATTACTTTTATGTTTTTAGCCTATTTACAACGGGTTCTAGCACTCTAGTGGTGGGCATAACAGTAGTAATGGTGAGAAAATATAACCTTTGTTTTTAGTGTGATCTTCTAATAAAAAACTGACGTTTGATATCAATTTTAAATTTGTGCGAATTTTTATTATTATTATTTGTCATTATAATGAAGTTTTTTCGTCCAGCCGTTTTAACTATTACATCTGTGGTTGTGTGAAAGGATAATGAAAAGACTCGAAAATATTTTATTTTTTGTAAATGGTCTTAACTTCAAATATAAACTATTAGTTGTTAATTAAAGTTAAATAATGTAAATTCAATGTAAGATTGGAAAATTATTTAAAATTAAAATTAAAATTGGTACTTTGTTTTTTGTGCGAGATTTTGTAGGTCTCGTGATTACCATTTCGGAATTTAGATACCAAATTCAGGTTAAAAATGTTTTTATTATTTAGTAAATTATTCAACTGAAATTTATGTTGACACAAGAAAGTAAATAACTAGTACCATGTACACTTTCAGATTTTTATATTTACGAATTGAAATTATTTTTTAATTGAATTTAAATTTAATTTTTGAATGTGAATAAACTTGATTTTTACTATGAACTGAAAAACCTTATTTTTTTTTTATCAAAAACCTAAGTACGAAAGATTTTTATATCGCTACTTACGTGATACTATACTGCACTAAAAAGCATCAAAATATTTTAGATACATGTTTAAATTTTTCGTCCAGACGCGATCTTATGCCAGAAACGATAAAAACAAAATGGCGGCTTTCTTGATATATCAACAACCATATCTTCAAAAATTGAATTCATAAACGAAAGTTTTTCATGTCCTCAGTTTCGTCACAATAAACTTCACTAAAATGTACCGAAATGTTGTAGATAAATATTTAGGCCTAAATATTTTGTTCAGACGCGATCATATGTTAAAATCGAAAAAAAACGAAGAACGAAAAAGCGACATACTGACTATAACAATTAATCGAGAGTAAGTTGTTGAAGGGTCGAGACGTACCACTCAGCGCTCCTAATTTCGTCAGGGTTATTACTGGAAGTATTGATCGCATATCATCGTTTGATACATCGTTGGAAAGCATACTTAATCACGGTTAATTCAGTATTCAAATTGTTTGGCTAGCTTTATTAGCGGCGAAGTTACGGGTGGGTAAATTTAGTATTTTTCGGTCGGTTCTAGCGGGGGTTTTCTAATTGACAGGTTGGGCAAGCATATAAAGGCTGCTATACACCATGGGTTAATTCTCAAAGGAGTAACCATGCATGCCTGATTTTTAATCATTCCTGGAAATGTGTGGGGGAAAATTTAACAGTTTCGGCAAATTCTACCGACCACCTGAGTAGAAACGCCCGTATTCATCAGGTTAATCCTCAAAGGAGTAATCATGCATGCCTGACCTTTATAGTTCTTTATAGTTTTGTTAAGGTTAGGATAAAGGTCATAATTTTAAAATGTGTTATTTGGCTCAATTTTAACGATTTTAGCCTAGTTTTAATAATTTTCTATTTAGCTCTATGGGGAAACTCAGTGTTCCGAATGTTTTTTGTTCGTTACAAAGGTCTAACGGTCGTTGTTATTGTCTTTCTAACGATTTCTTTTTGCTTTTAAGGGTTGTTTTATAAAAAAAAAATAAAATAAAATAAATTTTATACATCTGGCACTAAGATTTAAAATTTGGCATGCTAGTGTTATAATTGCCTGTAATTAGTAAGGTTAAATTATTATTTTATTTTATTTTAAATTATATTTAAGATTGCTAAATTATAAATCTAAATTTAAATTATTCGTGGTGTTTTTAAGTTTTAGTATTATTGGTTTCATTCTGGTCAGATCAGCTTTTAGTTAGGTTTTCTTCGAACTTTCAAGTTTGGTTTTAATAAACTTTAAGTTAAGTCACTGGGTTAAAGTTTTAGGTTTAGTAATTGTCTTGCATAGCTTGTATTTTCAATGGCATCTGAAATGGATGATCCGCAACTGCTATTAGAACCTTTGGCCGATGTTGATAATCAATCAACATTAAGCTCCCGGACAAAGAGCACAACGGAAGCGGAAGTACTTAATTCGTTAGAAGGTAGCCTACTTTATGAATCGGGCCAACATATGTGTCTCTTTGGTCCCCTGTCAGGATGACACCACCGCGTCTCGGCGGACACGGAAGCCGCGTTATTTAGGTCACGCGAGCGGTCGCGTAACGGAGCGACCAGAGTCGAGATAAGAGACAACGCACCGGAAGTGATTTACTCAGACGCTTTTTAACGTAACAACTGTTTAATGGTTAACGATAGGATATACATTAGGGCTGCTGTTAGATACATTAGGGCTGCTATTAGATACATTGCTCGCTTTAGTATATAATAGTATTTAGATATTAAGATATTACGTTTCTTCCCGTTTTGAGAGAGAGAGTTTACAGAAGTTCGCGTGTCGATAGTTACCTTGTATGAAATCCCAAAAGAAGACAGTTCTGGACTCAGAAAACAGAAGACACAATTATTAGGCGTGGAAATATCCAAAGGCGAGGAAATATCCAAGGGCAAAGAAATATCCAAAGGCGAATAAATATCCAAAGGCGAGGCACAGGGATAACTTGAGTGGTCCGAACGAGGAACTGGTGACGACTGACTCATTTTGTTGTCGGTTTTTCATGTTGGATTGTTGAAACAAAGATATTAGGTCGAAAGGTGCTGAGAAAGCGTCGTTATTACGCCTGAGAACTTAGCAGATGTTTAGCTCCTAGGTGTAAAAGTTGACTGTTATTGAACAAAAGTATAGCTGTACTGTGATCTTATGACATCGTGGAATGAAGGTAGGACTACGATGTGATATTATGATGAGATGATATAAACACATCCGAATTCGGATCTTCACATCTGCAACGTATCTTATACCTGCTTCCAAAGACGTATAAAAGAAACATAACTATTCATGAACGGAAAGAAATAAAAGAAAGAGTGACACAAATGTTTGCTGGGATTAACCAGATGTACTGTACGGGATGCTCCAGCAATTGAAGGCCAATCAAACCTAGATTTTCAATTTCTCAGAATCTACAAGAAAATCAAGCAGCTCCTCTTTATTCTGAAATAGTATGGGCAAAAGTTTCCAATACCCAGCACAAAGCACAGCGACCAAAGCAATAAGTAAATCTATAAATGACAAAATAAAAAGCGAAGGCAGTGGAAGTAGTAATGCTATAATAGTTTATCCTAAACTGGAAGGGAGTGACAACGTAAACATGGAAGAAATTTTTGCTGATATAACAAATAAAATTAAACCTGAACGATTGCGCATAAAAGTGACAGCAATTAAAAATGTCAAGGGAGACGGGATATGTTTCCGTACTGGGAGCCGTAAGGAGACAGAAGCACTTGGCAAAGCAATAGAAGGACTACCAAAAGTTAAGGAAAAAATAAACTTGAAGATTTCAGAGGGCCGTAAGCCTAGAGTTATTTTGTTTAATGTTCCGTATTGCGTTGAAGAAAATAAAATTATTGAAAAAATATATGACCAGAATACCACATTAACATCTATTTCTATGGAAGATTTTGTAACCACAACAATGATAAGCACTACAATAACAAAAGGAAACGTCCGGGAAAATTGCCGACATGTAGTGTTGTCTACCTCTCCATCTATAAGAAAACAACTAATTAAAATAAAGAATGTGACTATATCCTGGGAAAATATACGTACAGATGATTATATATATATAACACGCTGTTTTAATTGCCGTGGTTTTAACCACATAGCAAGAAAATGACCAATGAATCAGAAATGCAGCCATTGTTCAAAAGACCACGAATACAAGGAATGTACGCACTCTGAACGACCACCCTGTTGTACTAATTGTAAGGAGTCAAATAAAAATCTACCACCAAACAGGAGGAAACCAACGAACCATAATGCTTTTGCCCAGCAATGTCCTCTACTGAAAAAACTAAAGGAACAACAAATGAAACTAACAAATTATGGATACTAGAAACAAACACATTACTCTGAAACAGATAAATTTGCATAGCATGAAGGCAGCGACTACTGAAGCTTTACAAGTCGCTGTGTGTTTTGTGTTTTTAAAAAGGACTTTTTGTAAACTTTCCAGCAACAAATAGCCGAAAAAGAAAGGTCAGTCGCCGAAAATGTGTTAGTCTTGAAACACAAGTAATAAATAATAATCCTTTTAGGACAGTTTTGTCTTCACTTTTATTAGAAATAATTCTCCATCGGACGAACTTTTACAGTCTAAATTAATGTTTAAATTTTTCGTCCAGACGCGATCCTATGCGAAATACAAAAAACAAAATGGCAGCTGTCTGACTGTATCTAAGATTATATTTCAATAGATTAAAATGACAGACGTGAATTTTTTATGTTTTCTGTTTCGTGATATTATAGTTCACCATAATATACCAAAACACTGTAAATAAGTATTCATATATTTTGTTCAGACGCGATGAAATGTTAAAATTGAAAAAAACGATAAACGAGATAAAGACTTTCTGACTATAATAATTGATAAATTTTGAAAAATTAAACTTGAATACGGAAGATTCATATATCACTAGTTACTCGAAACTATACTGCACTAGAAAATAAAAAATATTCTAGATAAGTGTGAAACCACCGGAAGGGGGGGGTAGGTCTCCCGATCCGGCAACAGGTTGTTAAACCCTTTGAGCCGCCGCAAACTACAGGATGCGGGAGCTAGCGCACGCTCGCTCGCGCTCCTAAGCCCCGCCTTTTTTCCCATGATGCTTTGAGCCATTTTTGCTAGGNA